TTTTTTTCCCATTTTTTTGACTAAGAATACTACTACAAACATTCATATACAAGGTTTAGTTGTAACATCTATTTTTAATTATCAGGGGCTGTGATTAGACATTGAATTGCTGGGTTATATGGTTACTGTGTTCAGGTTTTTGTGTTAACTGTCAGAGTGTTTTCCACATTCGGCCTGTCTTTGGGTATCTTGAGACAACACACACCATTGTGTGTTGTTTTTTTATGAGGATCTTTCTTGACAAGCAAGATAACAACTTTTAATTTCACCACTTTCTCTTGGATTTTCGTTTTCATAACAGATTCTTTATTTACTAACTGAAAAGCTGCCACAGTGTCATTTTCTTTAGTTCTTCTGACAGTAGTCATGATTGGAAATATGATGAATAAATATGTTGAAAGTTACAAAAGTGAGCCCCTTGTCCGTGTTAGTTGCCTTTGCTGTTTAGCTTGAGAACCTTATGTAAGCTCTGTCTGAGCTCCTTGTTTTTGAGTGCATACACCATGGGGTTGAGGGCAGGAGGGATGATGTTTTCTAATACATTGAGTAGAACTGTGATAAGAAGAACAGTTTTTGGTACAAAATGGGTGATGGAAATAACAACAACGACTGTGTAGAACAATAGGATTAGGATGAGGTGGGAAGTGCAGGTACTTAGGGCCTTGGATGCAGCTTCTGCTGAGTTCAGCTTCAGCACAGACTGGAGTATCGAAACATAGGATAAAATAATCCCACCCAGGTCACTTCCCAGGAGGGTCCAGACCAGAATTACCTGGTAGAGCTTGTTGATTGTCCTGTCATCACAGGATAGGCTAGTGACTGCAAAAGTAGAGCACAGACAGTGCTCAATTTGGTTCTGTGAGCAGTAGTGTCTCTGAGCAGCCAACACGGGCACTGGGATGGTAGTTAGGGTATTTCTGAGTGCCATGAACACAGTTGCTTTGACCACAAAAGATTCAGTAATTACTGACGGATAGCGTAGTGGTTGACAAATGGCTACATATCTGTCTATAGCCATGCAGACGAAGATACCTGACTCCATGCACATAAAACAATGTATGACATACATCTGAGCAAAGCACTCTGGGAGGCTGATGACTTTAGCATTGAACCATAGGATGGCCAGAATCTTGGGTGTGATGTTGGTGGCCAGGCCCATGTCTACCACAGCCAGGACCCCCAGGAAATAGTACATAGGCTGGTGCAGTGCTGCCTCTTGTTTGATGGTGTGGAGGACTAGGATGTTGGCAGCAAGAGCTAAGAGGTAGAGCAGAGCCAGGGGCAGGGAGAGCCAGTGCTGCCACTCATGAATGCCTGGGAACCCCATCAGGAGGAACTCAGAGACCTGGACGTTAGATCCGTTGGAATGTCTGGGATCCTGGAACATCTTTCACTAAGAGAGAAAATATTTGTGGTCATTTTTAATAATTTATCTTAAATTACCCTGTTGTAAAAGTTGAAAAGAAGTTAGCAAGGACAGAGGCTTAAGACTGCGGAGTGAGTAGGGCAGAGTAAATCTCCTCCCAAAACCATATATATTTTTAAAAATACAACAAGTACAACTATTCCTAAAAGAGAGACCAGAGGATATACTACAACAGCCCACCACATCTACATCTGCAAGAACTCAACACCTCGCAAAGGGAGTAAGACACAAAGCTGTGACCCAGCGGGACCCGAGCACTCCCCCACTACCAGCTCATGAATGGAAGAAAAGGAGTCAAGAGCTGGAGGAAGTGCAAGCACAGGACTACTAAATAAACAACCCTTGTAATATGCACCAGGAGCACTGATACACATTGCATGGTGCACTGGATATTAGAGAAACGGAAGGGTAGGGTCCGAGACGGAGACTGCGAGCGAGTCCCCACAGCCAGCTCCCCTGGGACAAGAGAAAAGTGGGTGCTTTTTAAAAGTCTTAAAGGGACAAGGGCTCAACAGCTGAACAAAATCATCCCAGCATGCTCAGCCCAGCAGGCTGGAAATCTTGAGGAACTTTGTGTTCCCTTACCCCCGGGAGGTAAAGCAGCCCCAAAGCCCCTCATGGTGATAAGCAGCCTGCCATTTGTTCCCCCCAGTCAGCACTGCAAGTGAACTAGCTGACCCACCACAGCTGCGGAGCAGCCAGAAAGCGGCCCTGCCTACAACAACCACAGAGTCTTCTCCCAGCACACAGCTAACTGGCACAGGTAGCGGAATTCAGAGCAAGTTCTGGAAGGCATGAAGGGGTGCTGTCCTTGCAGGAGAACACCTCACAGAACACACCTGGCATGGCTGCAACTCCACGCAGTGCTCTAGGCTAGCCTGAGGGTGGTCCCACCCACGGCAGCTCAGGAGATTATCCCAGAGACTGCCTTCTGGTGTGCAGGTAACCGGCACAGGAAACGGAAGCCAGAGCAAGGTCCAGAAGGCACGAAGGAGTGCCAATCTCACAGGAGAACACAACCGGCATGGCTGTGACTCCCCACACTCCACTAGGTTATCCCGAGGGCCACCCTGCCCACAGCAGCTCAGGAGATTATCCCAGAGGTTGATCCCGGTGGGTGGGTAAGACAGTACAGGCAGTGGAGAAGGGCAAGATGACCAAAAAGCAGGAAGGGACTTTGTTCTCCCAGCTGACACACGTGCCACCTACCTGCAAACACATGAAAAGGCAGAACAATCTGATCCAGTCAAAAATCACTCAGACAACCCCCAGATAAAGGCCTAGTGAGATAGATATAACCAATCTTCCTGAAAAAGAATTCAAAATAAAGGTCATAACCATGTGGATGGACCTGCAGAGAAATATGCAAGAGCTAAGGGATGAAGTACACAGGGAGATAGAAGAAATGAAACAATCGAGAGAAGGGCGTAAGAGCAGACTGGATGAGGTGCAAGAGACTGTTAATGGAATAGAAATCAGAGAACAGGAATACAGAGAAGCTGAGGCAGAGAGAGATATAAGGACCTCTAGGAATGAAAGAATATTAAGAGAACTGTATGACCAATCCAAATTGAACAATATTTGCATTATAGGGGTACCAGCAGAAGAAGAGAGAGAAAAAGGGATAGAAAGTATCTGTGAAGAAATAATTGCTGAAAACTTCCCCAAGCTGGGGAAGGAAATAGTTTCTCAGACCATGGAAGCCCACAGATCTTCCAACACAAGGGACCCAAGGATGACAACACGATGACATATAATAATTAAAATGGCAAAGATCAAAGACAAGGACAAAGTATTAAAGGCAGCCAGAGAGAGAAAAAAGATCACCTATAAAGGAAAACCCATCAGGCTATCATCAGACTTCTCAACAGAAACCTTATAGGCCAGAAAGAATGGCATGATATATTTAATTCAATGAAACAGAAGGGTCTTGAACCAAGAATACTGTATTCAGCACAATTATAATTCAAATTTGAAGGAATGATTAAACAATTTCAAGACAAGCAAAAGCTGAGGGAATTTGCCTCCCACAAATCACCTCTACAGGTTATTTTAAAGGGACTGCTCTAGGTGGAAGCACTCCTATGGCTAAATAGATGTCACCAGAGAAAATAAAATCACAGCAAAGAAAGCAGATCAACCAAATACTAACTAAAGGCAAAAAATAAAATCAACTATCCACAAAAACAGTCAAAGGAAACACAAAAAAAGTACAGAATTAATCACCTAACACAAAGAATGGAGGAGGAAGAATAATAAGGGAGAGACATAAAGAATCATCAGACTGTGTTTATAGTAGCTTAATAAAAGAGTTAAGCTAGATGGTTAGATAGTAAAGAAGCCATGCTTGAACCTTTGGTGACCACTAATCCAAACCCTGCAATGTCAATAAGTACATATCTATCAATAATCACCCAAATGTAAATGGACTGAATGCACCAATCAAAAGACACAGAGTAATAGAATGGATAAAAAAAAAAGCAAGACCCATCTATATGCTGCTTACAAGAGTAACCTCAAACACAAAGATAAACACAGACTAAAAGAGAAGGGATGGAAAAAAGATATTTCATGCAAACAATAGGGAGAAAAAAAGCCAGTGTTGCAGTACTTGTATCAGAGAAAATAGACTTCAAAACAGAGAAAGTAACAAGAGATAAAGAAGGATATTACATAACAATAAAAGGGGAAGTCCAACAAGAGGATATAACCATTATAAAATATATGCAGCCAACAAAAGAGCACTGACATATGTGAAATAAATACTAACAGAAATAAAGAAGGAAATAGAAGGCAATGCATTCATTTAAGGAGATTTCAACACCCCATTCACTCCAAAGGACAGATCAACCAGCCAAAAAATAAGTAAGGACACAGAGGCACTGAACAACACACTAGAACAGATGGACCTAACAGACATCTACAGAACTCTACATCCAAAAGCAACAGGATACACATTCTTCTCAAGTGCACACGGAACATTTTCCAGAATAGACCACATACTAGGCCACAAAAAGAACCTGAGTAAATTCAAAAAGATTGAAATCCTACCAACCAACCTCTCAGATCACAAAGGTATAAAACTAGAAATAAATTGTACAAAGAAGACAAAAAGGCTGAGGAACACATGGAGGCTTAACAACATGCTCCTAAATAATCAATGGATCAATGCCCAAATTAAAACAGAAAGCAAGCCATATATGAAGCCCCAACTTCTGTGGGATGCAGTGAAGGAAGTTCCAAGAGAAAACTATATTGCAATCTAGGCTGATTTAAAGAAGGAAAATCAATCCCAAATGAATAGTCTAAAGTCACAATTATTGAAATTGGAAAAAGAAGAACAAATGAGGTCCCAAAGTCAGCAGATGGAGGGACATAATAAGATCAGAGAAGAAATAAATAAAATTGAGAAGATCAAAACAATAGAAAAAATCATTGAAACCAACAGCTGGTTCTTTGAGAAAATCAACAAAATAGATAAATCCCTAGCCTGACTTATTAAGAGAAAAAGAGGATCTACACACATAAACAGACTCAGAGATAAGAAAGGAAAAATCACAATGGACCCTACAGAAATACAAAGAATTGTTAGAGAATGCTATGAAAATCTATATGTTAATAAGCTGGAAAACCTAGAAGAAATAGACAACTTCCTAGAAAAATACATCCTTCAAAGACTGACCAAGGAAGAAACAGAAAATCTAAACAGACCAACTACCAGCAATGAAATTGAATTGTTAATCAAAAATCTACCCCAAAACAAATCCCCTGGGCTATATGGAATCACTGCTGAACTTTATCAGACATTTGGAGAAGACATAATAAGCATTCCCCTTGAAGTTTTCTGAAAAATAGAAGAGGAGGGAATACTTCCAAACTCATTCTATGAAGTCAGCATCACTCTAACACCAAAACCAGGCAAAGACCCAACCAAAAAAGAAAATTACAGACCAATATCCCTGATCAACATACATGCAGAAATACTCAAGAAAATATTAGCAAACCGAATTCAAAAATACATCAAGAGGATCATACACCATGGTCAAGTGGGATTCATCTCAGGGATGCAAGGATGGTAGAACATTCAAAAATTCATCAACATCATCCACCACATCAACAAAAAGAAGGGCAAAACCACATGATCATCTCCATAGATGCTGAAAAAAGCATTTGACAAAATTCAAAATCCATTCATGATAAAAACTCTTAACAAAATGGGAATAGAGGGCAAGTACCTCAACATAATAAAGGCTATGTATGAGAAACCCACAGCTAACATCATCCTTAACAGCGAGAAGCTCAAAGCTTTTCACCTAAGATCAGTAACAAGACAGGGATGCCCACGCTCCCCACTGTTATTCAACATAGTACTGGAGGTTCTGGCCACAGCAATCAGACAAAACAAAGAAATACAAGGCATCCAGATTGGTAAAGAAGAAGTCAAACTGTCACTATTTTCAGATGACATGATATTGTACATAAAAATCCATAAAGATTCCACTCTAAAACTAATAGAACTAATATCTGAATTCAGCATTGTTGCAGGATACAGAATTAATACATAGAAATCTGTTTCTTTCCTATACACTAATGATGAACTAATGGAAAGAGAAACCAGGTAAACAATTCCATTCACAATTGCATAAAAAAAATAAAATACCTAGAATAAACCTAACCAAGAAAGTGAAAGACCTATACCCCGAAAACAACAAGACACTCCTAACAGAAATCAAAGAGGACACTAACAAATGGAAATCCATCCTGCCTAAAGCAACCTACAGATTCAGTGGCCATCCTGACTAACACAATTGACAGATTCAATGCAATCCCTATCAAATTACCAACAGCATTCTTCAATGAACTGGAACAAATAGTTCTAAAATTCATGTGGAACCACCAAAGACCCCAAATAGCCAAAGAAATCCTGAGAAGGAGGAAGAAAGCTGGGAAGGATTTCGTTT